ACATGTAAATATACTAATAAATAATAATATATGATAAAACGAAAACTTTTTTTCCCACCAAACTGCTTCAGAGCTGAAACTTCCCGAAGGCAACACATTTATTAAAAATTACCAAGCATTATATACATAAAAAGGCTGAAACTCACAATTTCTTTCAGATCAATAACAAATTCTACATTTTTACAAATGTCTTGTATAAGTGGCAATTTTTCTTGTGTTCATAGTTGTTTTTTTTTATGGGATCTTTCCCAAAACACAACAGAAAAATACATTCTGACATGGCAGTCTAAAGTCTCTAGATAGAATTTCTTGTGTACTAGCCATTACACAATTGTACAACAAAACAGTTCAGGAATTGTCTTGTAGAACAAGAAAACACACATAATGCATACAATATATTATACTCCACAATAGGCATCAGAATATCTACACAATATTTACAATGGTCTTGGTTCATAAATTAATCACAATAAAAAAATAAAATAAACAACCAAAACAAAGTAGATATTATCCACTTGAAATACTAATTACTGTCACATTTAGGATAGATTGTGACAAGTCAGAACTTGCAGCACTCAGAGCTCTGGCCTCAATCTAGAGAACTACAAATCAGTTTTTTTTTATATCCCTTTAGTTCTCCAGATGAAAGGCAAAACCCACACTTTTTGGCATTTAATTCTAAGATCCACCCTGTGCTCAAAATGTTAAGGTAATATCTATACATATATAAATATATAATAATTCTTTAAGAACTAGAGTAGAAGGAATAATAGCCTAGGCCTTTGGAGGCATCTTTAAAGTCTTCATTTACAATGTCCTCACATTTAATGGGAGGGGAGTTTTCATTGCTTGAAGTGCTAGGTGAAAGTCGCCTTCGCTTGCAGGCTCCTGTGTAGACGCCAGAGTCATTTGAGTCCAAAGATTTAATGGAAGGAGGTGTCTCCACCCATGATGAATTCAACTCTTCTTTGACCTTGTCTTTGGACAGAAGGTCTTCAGAGAAACTTGAGGGGCTTGACCTGGATGACCAAGGTAAACCAGTTGCCATTTTCCTTTGATATGGAGAACTTCTGCTACTCCAGCCTGTCATGGAAGCAAAGGCTGCATCTGGATAGTATGCCATAGGATGAGAGGTCTGGATGGGCAGAGACTTTATGCCATAGGTGAGAAGGGAACTAGAAGAATAGTCTGTATCATAGGGGCCCATGTCCAGTTTGTTGGCTGCTGCTTGTTGGACAGGGGTCACAAACCACCTCTGGGGGGGAGCGCTGGCCACTTCTTCATTACCCTGCGGTGACAGAAGACCATTGGTCTGGGGTACAGTCCTTTCTCCAGTGTAGTACCTGGTAGGGGGCAGATTGTTGACAAATTGCTCCTGGAAGAAGGGCTGGACGCTGTAGCGGGCACCGGGCACTATCTGGTGGGATCTAGGAGAATCCGCAGGAGATGGAGTTAATCGGTCATTTTCTGAAGCCGTGTACATGCTACAAAAAGAATAAAAGGTTGCTGTGACTATGGTGAGCATGATCACATATGGGTCATATATGGGTAAAGCAAGTTATAGGGGTTGATTCACTAAGAGACAATCTTCACAAGTGAATAAAGTGAAGCTATGTTCACTTTAAAAGTCAATTAATGGGGGAATTTAGAAAAACAATATTTTGCCTTGCACTTGACTAAGGTTGAAGTGAACTCAGATTCACATTATTCACTAAGCTAAGTGATCATCCATTTATTAAATTCAATGAATAGCCTTGCACACGGACACTTCAAAAGCCATGATTTAGCTTATCATCTCTAGATGGTGTTATTTCTATTAATATTAACTCTACTTGCCTCAAGTTAATGAAACAGAACATGTAAGGTAATCCTTCCCATATCAAAAAACAATATAATATCACAGGGAAGAAATTATACTTACGAATCATAGTTGTCTCTGAAACCTTTTGCAAATGGATTGTGGTCAATTTTCAGTTGAGTGATCTAAAAGCAAACAAACACAATAAATACTGATATACAGTCTTATCAGTGCAGATAATTTAATCCTTTTACATACAGTCCCCCTCCCCATATGGAATACAATGGTATGGCCCTTACATCTGTATTCTGGTATGCTGTGACAGCAATGAACTGGTTTTCTGGGAAGGTGAATGTCTGGGTCTTGGCTGAGTCGTTCAGGTCCTCCACTCCATCTTCACTGACTTCCACAATGTGCAGACGTGGCTGGTACTTATGTAGAGACTGCAGGACAATCATCTATAGTAAAACAGACCATCTTTAGTAAGTCAGATCTATAATAATGAACAATAGGTCAAGTTCTAGTCAGATCAGTAAAGCGGACTTCTTTTCAAGTAAAGGGTTGAAAGCTGTTTGTGGGGACAGGTGGAGGCAGAGAGTAGGTGGCTGAGGTGGGCTGATTGTGTGTTATGTGGGTAAGCGAGAAGAAGGCTG